GGGTTTGGGGTTTTTCACGAGGTTTGAAAGGATTTCTGGGCTGTGTCCCACAGCTACGAGGTGCAGCTGGAGAGCAGAGTGCGGCGGCGGGGGCTGGGCAAGTTCCTGCTGCAGATCCTGCAGCTCGTGGCCAACAGGTGACTGCGGGTTTTGGGGGAAATCGGGGATTTTTGGGGGAAATCGGTGTGATTTTGGGGGAAATCGGGGTGGTTTTGGGGGAGTTTTAGGGTAAAACTCAGGTAGGTTTGGGGCAGAAATGGGGCGAAATAACGTGGTTTTGGGGGGAATCGGGGGGGATTTTGGGGAGTTTTAGGGTAAAACTCAGGTAGGTTTGGGGCAGAAATGGGGCGAAATAACGTGGTTTTGGGGGGCGTGGTTTTGGGGTGAAAGCAGGGCAGTTTGGGACTGAACCGGGGCTGGTTTTGGGGTGAAGCCAGGATTTTGGGATAAAACAGAGCTGCTGCTGACATAAAACCCAGCGGTTTCAGGGGTGAAACTGGAACACTTTGAGGGTGAACTGGGTCAGTTTTGGGGTGAAACCGGGGCAGTTTTGGGGTGAAACCGGGGCGGGTTTGGGGTGAAACCGCGGAACGTTTTGGGGCTAAAACAGAGTCATTTTTGGGTGCCAAACGCGGCTGTGGGGGCCGTGCAGCACGCAGATGAAGAAGGTGATGCTCACCGTGTTCAAGCACAACCACGGGGCGCTGCAGTTCTTCCGCGAGGCGCTGCAGTAAGTGAGTGCTGCCCGCCCCCCCCGAGCGCCCGAGCCGGCCCGGAGCCCGCGGGCCCGGCAGGTAACACCGGGGTGGCACCGTGTGTCCCTGGGGTGGCACCGTGTGTCCCTGGGGTGGCACCGTGTGTCCCTAGGGTCAGGGTGACAAGGGGGCGGGGGTCAAGGGGGAATTTGGGGGGGGAGGGAGGAGGGGTTTAGGGGTGACCCCGAAGCCCCCCCCCTCCCCTGTCCCCCCCAGGTTCGAGGTGGACCCCACGTCCCCCAGCGTGTCCGGCTGCTGCGGGGACGATTCCTCCTACGAGATCCTGAGCCGCAGCACCCGATTCGGGGACCCCCATCCCGGGGGGGCCCCCTGCGCCGGCTGCTGCCACTGAGCCCCCCCAAAAATCCTGGGCCCGGCCTGCTGGGACCCCCGTGATGGGTGACAGAAGCCCCCCCTTCCCCCCCTTCCCCGTTATCGCTGGGATTTGGGGGCCGGAAGGGGATTTTTGCGTTGGGTTTTTATTTTTATTTTTTTTTTTTTTTCTGTACTTTTTCTTTGTTTTTTTTCAGCGGATTTTGTTTGTACGCGACAAATAAATAATGAGGAAACTTTAATTAAGGCTCGTGGTGCTGAGGGGGGCGGGGTTTCTGAATTAATTATGTTAATGAGCAGGCGTGGCTTTGCTCGCAGTGGGCGTGACCGGAAGCAGGGGGTGGTTCCCCCGCCGCGGCATCAGCGCGCGCCGGAAGTGACGTCAGACAGCGCCGCCCGCCGCCATGCCGCCCGCTGCCCTCATCGCCCGCTCCCTCCTGCGCTCCGCGGCCCGGCCCGGCCCGGCCCCGCGAGGCCTCAAATCGGGGCCTCCGCAGAATCCCGTGGGGCTCGGGGTGAGCTCGGGGGGCGCGGGGGCCGCAGCGCGGGGTCACCTTGGCCGGGGACGGGAGGGGAGGGGGGGGAGGCGGCGGGCGGCACTAACGGCGCTGTGCCCTCAGGAGACCGTCGTGGGCTTGGCCGCCATGTTCGTGTCTTTCCTCGGCCCCGCCGCCTGGGTGCTCGGGCACATGAACGACTACAAGCAACGGGAGGAGTGAACCGGGCCCGCCCTCACCGGGACCAGCCGCTCCGCGACCCCGCTCAGCACCGGGACCAGCCGCCGGGACCACCGGGGAACGCCGCTCCCCGCGCCCATGGGACCCTCCCCGTCATCCCCAGCCCAATAAAAGTCGCGGTTCCGCCTCTGCCGTTTTCTGTCGGGTCCCGCCGTACCGGAACAGGGTTGTGACGTCACCCGATGGCGTCACGGGGGGAAAGGCGCCGTTTAACGGGGGGCGCTGCTAAGGGCGGGGCTTGTTGCTAAGAGCGGGATCAGCATCTTGGGCGGGGCTTGTTGTCAGGGGCGGGGCC